ARWCTCGTTCGTACTTCTGGAAGTATTTCCATTAAGCTGACAATATTATTACATAGTGCAAACTCTTGTCGAATTCTGTGCGTATAATTGAACTGAGAGCCAATCAATTACAATGAATACCGAGTCGGAACGAATAAAAAGAAGAGCTGGATTCTTTTTCGTATTTAAATTGCTTCTTTCATTAAAAGAATGGAACGACAAGGCAAACCCTTTTAACTATGAATACAATTTTGTCCGGCATCTGAATTTTTTTAAGTAAAATGAGAGAAGAGATCTGAGCAGTTCCAAAACCGCCTACGCCAACACATAATCATTATGGACACAATTCATTCTCATTTTCTTTCTCGATACGGTGTTATTGATCCCTTAGAATTGAACCTAAGCGACGCACGTTGACAAAAAATTGTCACATAATATTAGATCCCACAGAATTGGACGAAATAGATCAGCAGCATGGTATATGGGAGCAACATGAGCGAAGAAACAAGCACGAACTGTACGCCCCGCATCAAATGGGCTGCGGGCCAGGGTGGAACCATGGGGAACGACAAGAAGAACAAGCCCAACCCGGAACAGTGCGGTATCGGCGACCCAACGAGGTTCCACTCGTCGCAACAACCTATACCGGCATCCCTCRTGCGACATACCCCGCACTTCTCGCAGATGCCGTCCTCCCTGTTCGACAYGSCATCKGTACCGAGCAGTCTTCACCTCGGAAGCGAGGAATGGTACGGATTCTCCAAGCAAAGAAACTACGACAGCATCCGTGACATCGGTGCCTGCAATCGAGTGGCCGGCTTGTCGGTGCTGGACAGAGCCATTGAAATCCTTGGTCAACGAAACAGATACGATTACAACTACGATGCCGATGCAGCTTCTTCCATTGATATCGCGAACGACAGCCCCTATAAGAAGCGCCGGTGCCAATAGGTGGCGCCATCCCCGGGATCAAAGCTGGCCTGCCGCTGCTACACAGAGTCATAACAATCCTTGGTCAACAAAAGAGAGATACTGCCGCTGCTTCMATCGAAATCGTAAAAGACAACAACTATAAGGAGTCACCGGGAGCAAAATCCACCACCGGCTCCTTCGCTTCGACTCGAGTAAAAACCCTATGCTTATTTTTTAGGGGGAATTATATATAKATATAGTTTRAACAATCTAAAACAACCATTTTGTAACCGCAATGRTTATGAACTACCTAAAAGAGACCTCGTGAGAAACTTYCATGGCACCATTGATTCCAGACGTTTCCCATAGCGTACCAAGCCCATGCCATTCTCGCTACCCACCACCTATCGTAGAATGCCCCATGCTTCCCGATTGTAACGATGCGTGTCGCAAAATACCAAGGCCAGTACTCCACGAAAGACTCATGGAAAGAGCACTATTRGTTTATTAGTCATTTATTGTATGCTGTATATTATGTGTTTATGCACGCACCATGTGAATTGTTGCTTTCCACGAGGCGAGCGAGCAAAGCGRTTGCTCGCTAGCGGTTTCCAGTGCAGCCGCTTGCGCGTTTCTTCTCTCGCTACTCTCAACATGTACGGCTAATCGTTCGGCGACCGACTGTCTCGCTCTTGCTTCTCTCTCTCTCTGGTTMCATCACGCTACCGCTGGGCCAGCCCATCGGTCAGCTTGTTCCACCGCCGGGCTAGAAAGGTCCCGACCCTGCCGTTGRTCTCGCCGCCGTCGCCYCTGGAATTTACGGAGATACTCGCTCGCTTGGTCTTTCGGTCGTAGTCTTCGACGACCTGGATCAGTTTCTTCAATCGCTCCGCCCCCTTTGGCGTCACGGAGGTGGATTGCAGAAAGGATAGAAACGWCGGAGACGTGTGGTCGCCTGTTCCGTCCCTCTGTTCCAGCTGCCCCTCGTATACTTCTTGAAGGCGCTGAATCAGGTAGGAAGACGCCGATGGCGACGCCGACGCCCGGAAGGAAGACGTGTTCGACGAGGCGACAATGGCGCTGCGGTCCAAGACCATGGCCAGGAGCAGAACCACGGACCGCTCCTGGACACCGGAATGGCTTCGGTGGTTCATCATGGCGCGAACCACCGTCACGAGCGAGTCCACCGTCCCGGTCCTACTTCCGTGGAAGGAACCGCCCATCGCGCGGCAATCGCTGTCCGACGAGCTGCTTCCCATCATGCTCCCGAACTTATCCGACAGGTCGATCATCTCCGCGCCATCGGACGAGAGGCTCTGCTCCAGGCTTTCGTCGCCTGTGACCTGCTCCGTGGTGGACCGATTCCACAGCCGGGACCGGCCGTTGGTAGAACGCCTCTCCTCGTTCTCGCCGCCCTCGTTTTGTTGGGCGTGGACCACGATGGTTGACTCGATGAGCTCCATCCTGGCCAGCTCTTCTCCCTGGGTCAGCCGTCCAAGCAAGTCGCACCCGTAGGCCTGGATGGCCGCGTCCAGCGGATACAGGTCCATGGTGGCGAGGACGATCGGCACGATCTCGACGCTGCCGCTCGCCTGTGGCAGCTGGTGTTTGGGGCTTCCGCTCTCCTCGGCCTGTTGCCGGGCGGCGTGGACCTGCTTGGAGAGCGTCATGATTTCGGATCGGTTGTCCTCGTTGGTCATGAGGTTCCGCAGGCAGGCCATGGCCGGGTCGATAATGTTGACGGCGAATCGGTTGTGGTGGGCGTGATAGGCGTGACCGCCACCAATGTGCTCCTTGTTGTAGTGGTCCAGAACCCCCAGGACGGTCTGTGTCCCGCCCTTGACGGCAATGATTCGCAGAATGTCCATGGAGGAATTGGTGGGCCGGGACAGGTCCCGCAAGAACTGACAGGCCATCTGGGCCAGGCAGTCGTGGCGTTCCGCGATGCTCTGGGTGCTGGTGCTGCTGTAGCAGCAGTCCGTGTGGGCCCCCCTGGAATTCCTGCCGCTCCCGGTGTCCGCCAGGGCCGAATAGGTGTGCGTTGTTGCCATGGACACTACGTTGAGTAGGGCAGTCAGGCCACCCTCGCTGACGACAATCTCGTAGGTCTCCTGGTCCTGCTGGCACAGCCGGGTCAGGACCAGCAATCCGTATTGCTGGACGGCCAGGTGGTCCGGATGTTCTTCCATCCCCCTCAATACGATCGCCGGGAGGCTGGGAACCAGCGAGGAATAGTCCTCGAGTTGCTTGCCATCGATCTCGATCTTGCCACAGGAAGGCGGTGGGGTGCTGGAAGAATGGTTGCTGTCTTGGTTCATCGGGAGCATGCTGTCGCTGCCGTTGCTGCGGGGGCTGTCGCTCCGGTTTTTGTAACACACAGTGAGCAGAGGCAGCAGGTTGTAGAGGGCGTTGTTCCCGTGTTCCTGRACCCCGACGTCGCATGGGTGGCACTTCATCGCCTTGACGAGTATGGAAACCGACCCGGCGGCGATGAGCTCCTGCAGCAACGGATTGGACAGGGACTTGAGCGTCCAGCACCCATAGCGCTGGACCTCGGCGGACGGCAAGAAGATCATCATGGACTGGTGAACGATGTTCTTGAGGTGGGGCAGGATCCGGTCGTTCTTGAGGGTATCGCAGGCGTTGTGTGTCAGACAGGCCACGATGTTCATAACGAGGATGGGTATTTTGTTGGTKGGCAGAGTCGACTCTATCTGGACGTTCGCCACCGAGTCCTCCACTCCGATCGAATCAAAGGTGTCCAGGGCGCTCCGCTTGTGCTTGGACCAGGAGGAGGACGAGACTTTCTTAGTGTGGTCCTCCAGGACGACACGTAGCAAATATACCGCCATCTCAAAGGCCCCGCAGGTGACGAAAAAGAGCTTATCTTCCCTGGGAGTCGACAGTGAAATGGGTTTTGCTTTCTTTGGCGTCTTGTACTTTGGTTTGACGGTAGTGGTGGTGTTCCGTTTGAAAGAGAGGGAATTGTACGAGCTCACCGGCGAGGGCACGTCTCGGTTCGAAGCGGGTGCCGCACAGGTCGCCGCGGCAAAGGATGCCAGGCATTCTAGGATCGCCTCCGTGTACGCCACCCTATCGGTTCTGGCTCTGTCCTCGTCGTCGGCGGCGGCGGCGTCGTTGCTGGTTTCGCTGGCGTCCTTTCGTTCCTCGGAAAAGGAGTTGGGTGCCGACAGAGAAGACGTCAGCGATTCGTCCTGGTCTTTGAGCAGATCTTTCAGCGCCGGAACGAGGGTGGATTCAAGGACAAAGGAAGTGACCACGACGTCGGATTCATCGTCGTCGTCGCTCCCGCTGTCGCCATCGCCGTGCGAGCTCTCCCCGGCCCTTTGCAGCTTTTCCTGCAGGTTAAATATTTCGTCCCGGAGTTTCGCTGCGTCGCTACTGCTGGTCATTGCTTCGGGAGTGGATTGTTTGATTGGATTCGACTCAATTCGCTTTGCTTTTAGTTCAATTCAGTTCAATTCAGTCCACTTAAAACTCAATACTTTCTACAACACTACGATAAGAATCTCACTGTACGGTAGTTCATCCCACCTTGGCACCAGTGCTTCCGTACCTACAGAGAACATTCAGATACCGAACTGGGCTGGAATGAAGATCAGAATTGAGCGTTGGTACAAGTCACTACAGAATCATACGTTTTGTTGGCAGTAAAGTACTTTACGACTTCGTAGTCGTATGTGTATGGGTTTGCATACGACGGATTTCATCGAACGATCGTACGTACGTTACGTCGATTACGTAGATTGATGAAAACAAAACCAAAGACAGCGACAACAAAAATACAAATGGTGCAAACCCACATACACACGACACGACCATACAGTCCTCCATCCCATCTTMACTGTACATTACCGTACACGGTTATGTACGGTATGTATTAGGGCCATCAAATTTCAAACGCGAAAATTTGCGGGGGAGGAAATCCCTGGGATTTGAACCAACGAATCGATCGCGCGCATCGAAGGCAAATAGGTTTTGGAATGATACTGAATCGAAAAATTAAAAAAATTAAAAAAATTAAAAACGGTTCAAAAAAATAGAAGTCGGTTTTGTCGCGTCGTGTCCTTCGTCAAAGCAAACGTCGTGAGATAGAGGGGGGGCAGAAATCCCCTTAATTTTTCTTTCTTTCCCTCCCGATGCGCGTACGAGTGTCGTACTTTCATAATTCACTCGCGCGTAAAAACAAACGGTAGGTGACAACTATCAACCATCCGAGTTTTGATTTACCGTACGTACCGTACGTTAGCGTACAACGAGCAAAAGTACCGCGTACTTCTACTAAAATAGTAGAGTGCTACTGTACTTCGTAATCTGAACTCTGATCTGTACCGTACGGTAGGTCACACCCATCAGTCAATCGATTTGTAAATTAAATCGTTTCATCGGTTCGAAACGAACAATATCATCCTTGGCACTCAACCTTACCGTACAGGTGGAAACAACCCTCCTGTCTTACCCTGGATCGATCGCAAATCCATCATTGATGCCAGTGAGGAACGCAACAACAAAAACAGTGTTTCTCTAACATCTGATGTTTCGTATTGAGAGCGAGGGAAGTTTCGTCACTGCCATCATTCACTGGAGTTTCCTGTTCACATTCGCATTCCAGAGTAGCAAATTGCAGACAGCCTGCGCCTTTTCTGGAACGGGATCCTTTCCCCCGAGACCAAGCTTATTTGGTTCGAAATTACGACCAAAAGCTCTCGAGATGACGGCCCGTGCATCCGCGGATACGAGTCCGGCAAGCGAACCCCCGGTTGCCGTGGCCAACCGTTTGTTTTTGTCCCACATCGACTACGCCAACCGAGGCGACGGCAAAAGCGGCGACACGACCGCGCCCGGCGATGATCTCTCGCAGGAATTCGTAAAACAGCAGCTGGAGGGACTCTTCTCGAGGTTCGGATCGGTGCAGGAAATCTACCTTTCCGAAAAAGAAGACCCGGGCCGGAGCGAGAACAACCCCTCGGAACGCCGGCCGCCCTTTGGCTTTGTCGCCATGGAAACCGCCTCCGAGGCACAGGCCGCTCTCGACGGGCTCCGCGAAACCGGTGGCAACCAGTCAATCGGCGGTGCGCGGCGCCTCTTTGGGGACGTGGCACCGGCCAAGGTCCACAAGTCGAAGAACAACCAGCAAAACAAAAACGAGCGCATGCGGTCGGAAMGACGGAAGGAATTTCGAAGCCGCCGGGCCCTCGTGGAGGGCGGGAAGAGCGGGAGCGCCGCCGCGAACCTCGTGTGCCAGGTCCATACCTCCCACCTCGACCGGCTGAACGACTTTGTGGCGGCCCGGGAGGGGGTGGGCCTGGTGGGCTCGTTCTCGGTGCAAAAGGGGACGTCCTTTGCGGTCCTGCGGGTCGATGCGCCATCGGAGGACGACGGCGTCGACGGCGCCGAACAATTTTCCCGGACGCTGTGGAACACGTGGTACGTGGCCCCCAATCTGAACCGCGTGACGCTCCTGGACCACGGGGAGGGCGGCTCTAGTCCCGTCGTCGAGGGGAACCTTCGGACGGGGGTGGTTCCGGCGATTTTCCGCTCCCTTTCCGGACTGCCGGGGGCGGGTGGCGGAAAGGTCCTGCTCCGGGTGGCCGTCTTTCCCCCCAAGCTCCAGCGGGCGCTGTTGGTAGGCATCGAGGACTACCAACACACCAGCCGCCAAGAAGGCGACGCGGACGTCGAGCTCTGCCCCGGGAATCCCACMCACACGATCTCCGTCGTCCAGCTGCATCCCGGCGTTGTGGCGACTCCCAAGAGCAAGGGCGACAACGACAAGGCCCTGTACGTTCTGGGCCGCCCCGAGTGCGTTTCCTCTGTGCCAAAGAAGCGTTCCCTGTCCGGAGAGGGCAGTGAAACTACGGACAACAACAACAACAACAACGTCCACTCCGACAAGTACGAGCTACAGCAGCAGTCCACAAGCGTCGTGCCTCAACCCAAGAGGCAGCACAGGCAAAACGGCGACGAGGCTGGCACAGCAGCGGCAGCCGCCCACAACTCGAACCTCAAGGTGATCGGCGGCGATTCCGGGGCGACTGGTGGGGAGGACAAGAGCATTTCGAGGGCCTACTGGAAACTCCAGGAAGCCTGGGAGCGGTACCGGTACCGGTACGAAGCCCCGTGCCTCGATGCCGCCGGGAGCGGGCACGGCGAGGCGCTGTGGGCCCTGGACTGCGGGGCAGCTCCCGGCGGCTGGACSAAGTTTCTGTTCCGGCCGGGCGTCGTCGGCAGGATCTACGCCGTGGATCCCGGCGAGTTGTCTCGAGACGTGGTGCCGGGCCTCGACGAGGGCCTCGCCGAGGCCGGCGCGTCGACGCCAGCGGCAACCTCCATTGTGAAGCACGTTGCTACCACGATCCAGGCCGCGGTCCCGGACCTGGCGGCGGACCTCCGATCGTCGTCCAGGACCAACAAGGTTCTGGACATCTGGGTGAGCGACATGTGCTGCAAGGATATGGCGGGCCAGATCGATTGCTTCTTGCTGGCCCGGTCCGAGGGCGTCGTCGGTCCCGGGACCTTTTTTGTGCTCACCCTCAAGTGCGTGGTGGGGTATTCGGCCACGGCGTTCGAGTACCAGGCCAAGGAGCAGGTCGCACGGCTGGAGGGGATCAGCAGGGATGTTCAGGTGGTCCACCTGTTTTCTAATCGGAGCAGCGAGCGGACCATCATTGGGTATTTGTGCTGAGCCAGCAGCAGGAAAAACCATTCCCACCCCGCGGATTCGCACCGGTGCGAGCAAACAAAACACAAACACGATTGYGATCACAATCCCTACTGCAATCGGTGGGAGCTTTCTAAATTAGGGAACACAAAGTACAGCGTTACACATCCTTGTTTTGTTCGATAAAGKTCACCCTATCTATTTTCTGGTCAGCAGCCATTGGTCATCAGCGGTCGCTTCGTGGCGAAAGGCTTCATCTAGATCCWTGAATCGTGCTAGAACATCCATCGCATTTTCCCCGTCGACGAAATCACTCCGCTCCTGTTCGTCGCTGTTGCTTGGTAACAACAAGGAATCTACAATCTCCCCGGGCAATCCCATCGCATCCAACATGGTTCTCGGGGGAACGATCGTTCGGTTCCGAACGGCAACGGCTTGCACCATGACCTGCGCCAGGATCCGCTCGTCGCTCGGATTGCGAAAGGTCTGGGATATCCAGAAATGCTTCTCGTCGATCCCCCTGAGGAGGCTATGGATTTCAAAGGCGTTCCGGAGCGCGGCGATTTCCTTCCGAAAGCGGACCGCYGTGCTGGTTACGATAAAGTTGGTACGCGTCCGATACATAGCCTGGAGGGCACCCGTTTCGGCCGTCCATTCCCACCGTGCGTACTCRGCGTGCGTGAGGTAGGAGGCGTTGTTCATATGGCCGATGTAATCGAGATCCCAGAACCAATTGGCGCGGCAATTGTAGACATGGGCATTGATCGTGTTGTTGGTGTTGCTATCGATGGAACTGGCGTTTCCTTCGACGTTKCTGCCAACGYTGGTTTGTGCCGGGACAAAGCCAACAAAGTTAGACGCGACGGCTTTGTCTGCAGAATCAATGTTGCTGTTTGCTGAGGCAAGCCTTCGCCGCCGCCGAAGAATTCCACGTCCGATGGAAATTAGGGTGCGAGGGGTATGTATGATTGCCATATTGCTTATTGCAGTCTTAGCATCAATGTGCTTTGTGTTGCGTTTCTTTGTGTGCGTTGGATAAGAGTTGACGYTCTGTTCACCGAGAGAGGCCTGATTTTGCTCGTGCTACCCAACGAAGTCGCCGATTGCCGATAGTATTGAAAGTTGTTCGTAACGTGAAACAATGTCCTACAGGCCTAAGAAAAATAGAAAAATGGTGTCAGCRAAGCGGGGGACATGAAAGAAATTTCACGTCCTACGTACTTCCATTACGGTACGTACGTACTCATAATATCACGAGCTAGTACGAGGAACGAATCTAGGATAGGTTATGAGTAAACAAAACGCGCTTTTTTAAATATCTGGAGCTATCTACTACTCGTACTAGTAGCATCCTTTCTATTTGATAACAAAGGACCAATCAGAATAAGGAAGTCTGTTAGTCAGAAAGGGTTATTCTTCTTTCTCTACCCGGAGATGTGTATATTGCTGGGTTTTTTGCCAGGGAACCTTTTCCATCTTGTTGATTAGTACTCTGTGCACAAAAATGCACCACAAAACTCCATTTTCAACAACACTCCATTGAACTGGCCTGTCTAACCCTCCAGAAATAGCAATAAACAACACTTTCCATTCCACCCACCACCCACTGGAATAACTTCATTATCACAGGAACAGAGAAATTTGGAAGTCTCAGATTGATTGACTGAGTGGTGGTTGGTTTAGAAGAAAATATCTTTATTCAACAACTAGTAGCTAGCAGCAGCAAAAATATCTCCTACTATGAACAAATACTAGCAAAGAAGGAGCTGAACTGCATCCTTTTGAATGCCAATTAGGGACACAGAGTAGTATGATGGAAAGGAGAGAGCTACTAGAAAGCAGTAAGAAGAGTGTCTTTCCTTTATTGCCAGCAGTATCACTACTAAAGAGGAAAGAGTTTTCCCCATTATTCCTTTGGGGGTCTTTGAGGGTTCCAAGGTAGTAGTTGGAGCAGKTGCTGAAGTTTACGATTCCCCAGAAGCTAGCAGTACTTAGTAAGAAGCRCCTTAGTGAGCACCCAGTAAGTGTTTTATTGAATAGAAATCTTTTCTTTGGAATGAATTTATATTTGGTGGTAGTGTTTGTACAGAAATTCAATTCAGCAGATCTGAATTCTGATCAAAAAGTGAACAAAAAGAGCTCAGAACCTTTGACAGAACAATTTCTTTATAAAGTGAGACAGGATGATGTTGCTGTTCTTGTTCTTTCTTGTCCTCTTTTTCTTCCTTGTTGTATTCAAGTACTAGTACTAGTTTTGTCCATTCTTGCTATCTACTACTATTCTTGTTGCTGACACTTTTTTGTTATTGGGACAAGATAGATTTCATGCTTTTATGCTTAGTCACAAGCGCTACAAGAACTGAAGAAGACTGAGCAACCAGCAATAAACCTGCTGTAACCAAGGTCATTTTCTACAATAACAGTAGAAGTACTACTACTAGGAGTGCTATTTCTAGTATTTGAAATGCAAATTACTAAGATGATATGTACTACTGGTAGTAGCAGTAATAGAAAGGATAATGTGTACTAGTAAGGGATTATCTTCCCTAGTACCACCACTACTACTCAGACATGACTCAGATTATTTCAATTCCCCCCTACCAAAATGAATGGTGGTGGTGGATGGAACAAATTAAAAGCTGTTTGTTGGGAAAGAAAAAATTGCAGATTTGCTTCTTGTTTGAGGCATGAGTGATGTATTCCAAAATAATTTTAAGTAGACTTTTTGGTTATTCTCCATCTCAGGAAGTAGATCTGGTGATAAAAAATAGGAGTGAATTAATGATCTCAATATTTGGCACATTAAATCATGATTCTTTGTGCATTGGACTGATCTTATTAATTAGTAATTTTTGTGCACTACCATTCCTAAATAGTGAGATGGAGTTGTTGTTATAGCCCTCCAAAGGGTACTAGTTTAAGTAATCACCTGTAGTAAGTTTCTCCACWTTTTYCCATGGTTGACCACAAACTTTTCACAACATCTTCAACAACACCATCAGATTTATTTCATTCATAGGTTTCAACCCCTAATTCCTGGTGAGCCTTCAAGAGCTTCTCTGTAGCATAAGTTGMATAATTARAATGGTGAATGTGTGCTCTACTTTTTCATACTAGTGAGACAAGCAGTTCATTCTTTCATTCAGCAAGTCCAAGAGATGTAATTAGATTTGTAATTTAAAGATTTTCCTYTATAATGATTWTAAACAGCTTCAGACTGTGTTTTGWTGCAGAATTACTAGTGRTAGTAATGTTGTTGGTATCTTTGCTGTTGCAAAAAAATCTACAGAGATTAGAATGTGACATGTTATTCTCTGTTACAACACCTGCTCCTTCTACTCCTGGTTTGTTTATTKTGTTTATTGCTGGCAAAATTGCAATATTGGTGGTGAATTCAGCACTGCAACAAAAAAGTATTGTTACCAAATAGTTTTTCTTCAGAAAACACTTGTGTTGGAAACATGTTGGAACAATAGCCCATCTATTGGTGACCACTAAATAAGAAGACTAAGAATAAGTTCCACTTTATTACTAAAAGAGAATTGACATTCATTCCATATTACTACTTGTCAAGAGACAACAAGAAAGACTCATTTTGTATGGAGATAGTAGGAATTMAGTATTAATATTGTAGTAGTCTTTTTCTTGGGTCAGTGTTAGAAAAARTTTGATTAATATAAGCAATGTTGGGGACAAGAAACTTTGTTGACATTGCAAAAGTGGTATGGTACTTTGAAAGTTATGAGTTATGACAAAAGATTAGGCTACTACTAGTACTACTACTGTCATAAACATACATGATTATTGAAAACTGTGTTTGCAACTAAAACTCACTTTCTAAGCTTGTTGAGAAGTAACAAGTTGTTATAATTTGGATAACACAAATTGCTGTTTTGATGGTGGAGAGTAAAGAMACTCCATCATGGATTAGTAAGTACTACTAGTAGTAGAGGAGAATCAATTGTGAGTATGTCACAATCCAAATCTGTACACTGCTCACAGCATACAAATCTTACAATAACAATATAGCTCTGACATAATGCAGTCTGTTATTTGTAAACTACCAGTGCAACTCCTGTGATGCATGTGATAGTACTTGAAGTGTGCTAYGGAGACCAAGAAGTTTAAGAATTCTTGCTTGCACTTTAAAATGCTGAATGGGATGCATTTGAAATCAAAATCCCTTCTTCATCTACCCATAAATTTGGTTGAAACATATTAGCTCCATTAGCTACTAGTACTAGTATTGTCTCACAGAAGAGCAGTTTGTTGTCATACTGCTGCTGGAAGAAGTAGGAGCATTACTACTAGTACTACTAGTAGTAAGAGTAGTGACAAATTGCTACTAGTAGTAGTACCTTGACTGTGGTGGTTCCCAGCATGAACATCACCTGAATGTAGAGAAAACTTGTAACTGTGTGTCAGCTGTGACCCTTTTTGTTGTCTTCTTGCAACAATACRCTTAAGCTTGACTGTATAGAAACTATATGATATATTTTGCTCTAGCTACTAGTGGAGAGCTCAAAGTAGTACTATTACTACTAACAAGAAGAAGACAGCATCATGCCAACAAACACTCCTCCAAAAACTGTTTTTGTCATCATTATTTTTTCATTCAATTGACTTGAKAACAATCAAAACTCAAACATTCATTGACTATTTSRAACAAGAGCCACYATAGACCAGCTCTTAGCAAGAAAAATCTTGATCAGCAAGACACTTCTTGTTCTTGGCATAACACTAGYAGYAGTWKTKWWGRRGRKGA